TATTGTATTATATATATATATATATATATATATATATAAGTACAATAATCTAGCATTTTCAAAAATGAAAATCTTGAGTTGCTAGTCAAACAATAAATATCAAAACTACTAGCAACAGTAGCACCAAACTACATGCCAATAACATGACTCTTAGTGCTCCAAAAGCCTCAAGTCTAGCCCTGTCATACTCCCACGTAAATTTGATCATCGCAATCTAACCACAAAAAAGCATGCAAGGGCAAACTAATGTAAAAAAGAAGAATACAACATAATACAATAAGTAAAAGCATTTATACTAATCATCAACATGTAAACCATAAACAACATCATCTCATGGATTACAACATTTTCAACACCACAACAACTCAATATGGCATCAAACAAGTTTAAAAGTAAACTTACACCACAACCATGCCATCTAACACACAACTTCACATAACATATGAACAATCACCAAAAACAACACATCATATGCATACACCTTAAGTAATACATCATCACACATTCACTTATGAAGATCTCCTACAACAAAGGTGAGCAGTTTAAGTAGTTTGATTGTACTAAACCAACATGACATTTTTACACATGCTAGGTCAACAACCAAATGGGATACCAATCCCTAATAAAATGATTTCTTAGATGTCGCTACTTAAACTGTAAAATTTTAGTACCACTGTCAAGTATAACAAAGTTTAGGTATGAGTCTATCACGATATTGACATGCATTAACCAAGTCATTTATGGATACAACTCGCTAACTATCTTTGCGGTATCACAAACCTCTCTAGTAATCAGTTAAGGATTTTAGCCCTCAATTTCATACCTTACTCCAACATCAATTAAGGATCTAGAGGAGATTCAACAATTCACTCCAAGAGACAATTTCTACTCAATGAGGATTTTTCAATAATTGGACTCATAGAGCACCACACTAATATCCTCATAATGGGATATGCAACTTTCATAAACATCCTTTCTTCTAGTCTTAAGCCAATCACTAAACATGCCTAAATACCTAAAGTAATCTTAGCATCAACACCTCAACAAATCAATAATTATTCAACATATTATGCCTAAATGTCTAAAGCATTCTTACCATTAACACCACAACAATTCAACATGTATAATCATCTATTAAATTATTCAGATCAATATACATAGAACTAACAACAACTATCAACATATACCATTAACTCGTGTGCCCTTATGTTTGGCGTGGAAAAGCCCACGCTTGACCCCATTTCAAGCAGGGACCAATCTCTTTCCTCACATCTGATGTCACACCATTGATGCTTGACGTCAATTCTAGCATGTGAGACAAAGGCTCCTAATTCAAGTCACGCTCAATGTTCTGAAGGTGCATTGACACGATGATGAGTTCTACACTTTGCAGATGCTCTCAAATTGGCTAAAACCACCTAAAAATTAGAAGATACCAAGCATGCAACATACAATAATACTTCCATATACTTCAAACAACTCATTTCTAATAGAAAACTCAACATGTAATCATCATTGATCAAGACAATCAAATTTCTCCTCATCAACCATATGAACAATAAAAATGCCCATTCTCAATTCACTAACAACATAATTACCGAGGTATGCAAATCAAGCCACATTCCAAGAAGAATTCAACACAAACAACTCAAAATCAAAAGGCATAAAGTTTAGTTTCCCTTACCTCGAAACTAAATTGAACAAGGAAGAGGAAGAAGAAGAACAACAACAACAAGCTTTGAGCTCTAAGCTCCAAGAAGCTCTTCACAACACCATGATCTTGAATTCTCAACTATGAGCTTCAAATCACCACCCAACAACACTCCTCACGTGCTTGGGAAGTCTAGAAATAAGAAAGGAAGATTTCAAAATCTCGTAGTTTCTTTCTCTAATTTATCTCTCTAAGATTTCTTAAAAACTAAACTTATGGAACTTTATCTAAAAAGAAACCTTATATATTTTTTTCTTTAAGGTCAAATTGAACCTCTACCTATAAAAAACCTCAAAATCACTTAATCTCATGAGAATTGCTTAATTCTTAAAGATTCTCAACAACATAACTTAAAACACCACAACACATAATTATCATTAAAAAAATAATAATTAACAATATCTTACGATATTACATAATCTAATAATAAGTTTAATGACTTCACACATACCATTTTCTTTTCTTTTAATTCCTATAATTTATAAATTAAAATTTTAAGTTCCTATAACAATATATCGCATGGATTAAAAGAAAATAAAAATAAAATATTTTTGATTGTAGAAAATTAAAATTATATAAAATTATAGAGACCAAAAAGATAATTAAACTTCTAATATTTTTATTTTGTTTGTTATATGCTATGCATAAAATATTGAACAAGATCAAGCTTATCTTATTATGATTTTATCACATTCTCATATCATATCCTATCATATTTTGATCACTAAATATGTTCTTAAGTAAATATTCTATACATTATCTAAAAATAAATTTTACATTATTATCAATCACAAATTACTATATATAACAAGTTTATTGATTTTTAAAAATAAATTACCTTAAAATTTATGTTAAATTAATATTTTAGTTCCTATAGTTTTTTTAAAATTTTTTTTAATCAGGTTCCTATAATTAAAAACACTATAAAAAAATCATTACAATTTAAAATCTCTTTGTAGTGGTTTAATTTTGTTAGTTTATATATGTTGATTACATATTATATTGTGACAATTATCTTTTAATATGATAAAATTTCTCTTTTTATTTTATTTTTTAGATGCTTCAAATTAAATATCTAATTTTAATACGCTAATTATTCTAAAATTTAGGATTTCTTTCACATTTAGATTTTAAACTCTTTTGACATTTTTTCAATTACATCTATTTATAAAAGCTAATAAAAAAAATCAAAGATATAACTTTTTATCTACATAATTTAAATTTAAATTTAATATTTTTTTTATACAATATATAAAATAAATGTCTATTTATACTATTAAAATTTATAATAAAGATATTTTTAAATATTATATATATATATAGATATATATATAAAATAACCTCTTTTTAAGATTGTCTCATGCTTAATCACGGTAATTCAACTTACGAACCAGTGTCTTTGTTAACATTTTATTGTATTATGAATGAATGTCAAATAATCGAAAATTGTGTGGGAAATAAATTGGTAGGCTGGAATAAAAATATTTACATGCATAACAAGAAGTTGATGCTATTGATCTTACTAATAAATCGTTATATTTTATTTTAACATATTAATTTATTATTTTAAATAATTATTTACATATATTAAGATATTTAAAAACATTTTTAATTATAAATTTTAACCATATAAAATAGACATTTATTTCCTGTATTGTACAAATAGAAATATTAAATACAAATTTAAATTATACAGATAAAAAAGTTCTATCTTTTAAAAAAAATTTCTTAATTTTTATGAATATATATAAATAGAAAATATCATAAAGTTTAAAAATTCAGATATATATTTTAAATTTGAATGAAAAAGAAATTCCAAATATTAAATTAGAAATTTAATTCAAAACATTTAAAATAAATGAAAATGAAATAAAATGATTTAAGCCTATTAAAAAAATAATTGTGTCATAATGTCCCGTTAACAAAAACTAATGAAATTATAACTATACATTAAGGAATGAAGGATTTAATTACAAAAATTTTAAACTACGATGATCGTGTTTTTAAGTATAGGAACTTAATTAAAAATTCGAAAAATTATAGAGACAATAAATTAATTTAACCTAAAATTTAAATCAATAATAACTTTTAATTGTTGGCTGGTATAAATTTTTTTTTTCTCAATAATATATATAGTAATCATACTCGCAATCAACTTGGGTTGACACTTGGCATAGATAATTAAGAACTCCCATCACTTAATCAAATTATCGTAAATCAAATTCTAACACTTAGAAATACAAAAAACTTAAATTATTGAAAAATGTCGACTTATATATTTAATATTGATAAAAATTATGAGAAAAATTAGTAATTGCATTCATACTTTCTATGTAATTACTTTTCATTTTATCCTAAAAAATAATTTTATTTAGAAACTCAAAAAATATCTTATTAATTTATAATATTTATCTTTTATTGGCTAAAAAGTTTCTAAAATATGTAAAATTATTTTAGTAAAAAAAGAATTAATGCTATGGAAAATTTGCCTTAAGTTAAGGAAGAAGGTAATATTATTAATTATTATTGTTAATGTTAAACGTATGCATTGATTTCCTTACGAGATTTTCTCTGTAGTTCCTTTCTTTCGTAACAATTTTCCCTCTCAATGAAGAAGAAGAAGAAACCTTCACCGTCCCACCAATGACACCAACCTTCACTCTCCTCTTCTCCCTCTCCGCCATTCTCCTCATAACCGCCGTCACTGCCCTCGGCTCCGCCTCCACCATCGCCGTCACCTACGCCACCGCCACCGTCTGCGGCATAGTCGCCGGCGAGCCCAACCACCACATCCAGTGCTCCCGTAACGGAAAACTTCTCCCTCTCACCCTCCCCAACGTGTCCTTCCAGTCCATCTCCGGCGGCCGGAGCTTCTTCTGCGGCCTCCGCTCCGGAGGCCGCAGCCTCCACTGCTGGGACACCGCCGTACCCGCGGCGGAGCTCCACCCCAAGAGGGTGTTCCACAGCGACGCGGTGCAGTTGGCTGACGTGGCAGTTGGTGACTCTCAGGTTTGCGCTGTAGAGGTGCAATCCGGTGCGGTGAGGTGTTGGAGAGGAAGCGGTGGGGTCGAGTTTAGTTCGCCTTCGGAGGGGTTAAGGTTTCGAAGTGTCACGTGTGGTTGTGGTTTTTCGTGTGGGATAGTGAGAGAGAGTGGTAGGGTTGTGTGTTGGGGTGATGAGGGTGAGGGTGCAAGTGCAAGTGAGATTCAAACACAGTTTGAGAATTTAGCTATGTCGAGTTTGGTTGCTGGGGTGTCACACGTGTGTGGCTTGACCCTTCACGGTGGTTTGGTTTGTAAAGGGAACAATGGTTCTGGTCAACTTGGTGGTGGTGGTGTTTTGAGTTCCTTGGAGTTTTCTGGTCTTGCTTTGGGAGAAGATTTCACGTGTGGTATTAAGCGTAGGAATGGGGTCGTTGTGTGTTGGGGTGGTGGTTTTGATAGTGATGATGATGTAGTAAAAGGTGTTTCCTTTGAGTCACTTGTTGCTGGTTTGGATTATGTGTGTGGGTTGACAACTAGGAATTTGTCACTGCTTTGTTGGGGTGCTAAGGGTAAGTTTCATGAGGCTATTGAGATTCCATTGGGAGTGATTCTTCCAGGTCCATGTGTTGAAGGTGGTTGTGGTTCTTGTGGTACATATCCTGATTCTGATGTTCTATGTCATGGTTCTGGGAGTGTTTGTTACCCTTGTCCAATTGAGGTTCCACTAGCTGTGCCGTTGCTTCCACCATCAACTCAAGTTGTTCCAAAACAAGATGGAGGGAGAGGGTTGAGGGGAATGTGGGTTATTTTGGTTGTTGGATCAGTTGGGGCTTTTGCTGGTTTGTGCAGTGTGCTTTATTTGCTTTGGGTTGGTTCAAGGAGGTTTTTGTTGAGGAGAGAAGAGTTAGGTAATAATAATTCTGTGCGACCTACAAGCTCAGAGAGTGATGCCTATGTGGATATAGTTCCCATGCCTAATGTTGGTTCTAATGGGACAACATATAGGACTTTTTCTTCTAGCAAAAGGCAGGGTTCAAGAAGATTGAGGAGGCACAGGAGTGGTTCATCATCAAAGCATTTGGACAGGACTGAGAGTTTCAAGTTGGGTGAACTTGCAACAGCCACTGAAAGTTTCTCACTGAGTAATAAGATAGGTTCTGGTAGTTTTGGGAATGTTTACAAAGGCATGTTAGGAGATGGTCGTGAAGTGGCAATTAAAAGAGGAGACACCAGCACTATGAAGAAGAAGTTCCAGGAGAAAGACATTGCTTTTGATTCTGAAGTGGCATTGTTGTCCCGGCTTCACCACAAGCATTTGGTGAGGCTAATTGGGTTCTGTGAGGAGGATGATGAGAGGCTCTTGGTGTATGAGTACATGAGCAACGGATCACTTCATGACCATTTGCATGACAAGAACAATGTTGAGAGAAGTAGCAGCATTTTGAATTCTTGGAAGATGAGGATCAAGATTGCATTGGATGCTGCCAGGGGAATTGAGTACATCCACAACTATGCAGTGCCACCAATTATCCACAGGGACATCAAGTCCTCAAACATACTCTTGGACTCAAACTGGAATGCTAGAGTTTCTGACTTTGGATTGTCTCTAATTTGGCCTGAGACTGAGCAAGAATTGATCTCCACCAAAGCAGTTGGAACAGTTGGATACATAGACCCTGAGTACTATGTGTTGAATGTGCTGACCACAAAGAGTGATGTGTATGGCTTAGGAGTGGTGATGTTGGAGCTTCTCACAGGAAAAAGGGCTGTGTTCAAAACTGAAGATGGGTCAGGGCCTATTGGGATGGTGGAGTACACAAGCCCAAAGATAGCATCAGGGGAGCTTTGGAGTGTGTTGGATGATAGAGTTGGACAGCCAGAAGTGAATGAGGTTGAGTCCCTCGAGATTATGGCTTACACTGCTATGCATTGTGTGAACTTGGAGGGAAAGGAGAGGCCTGAAATGACTGACATAGTTGCTAACTTGGAGAGGGCATTGACCTTCATTGAGGGCAGTTCTACTAGCCTCTCCATTGCTTCATTCTCTGCCCCTCTCGAATGAAATCTCATCCTATAATACATTCATGAAATTCTTTATTTGTTTTTTACTTTCCAGTTTACTTTCTAATTTTGTAAAGTTATTCTTTGGGTTATACATGTATGGGACTTTAGTTGACAACATAAGGAGAATATCACATCTGAGATATTGAGAAGGTAAAAGAAAAGCAAAAGGATTAATGGTCAATTTTGATCCTCTACAATTTTTGTTGCAACCTCTAAGGTTTTGGGAGTTTTTCATAATTGCATAATTTTTTAAATATCAAAAGGAATAAAACTTACAATATTTGCAAGTATTGTTGGTACTGCTCTCAATTGAATTGGAGATACATTTCAGTAATACGAGTAAGAGAAGATTTCATTAAACGTTAACGTGTATGGTGATTAGTTAGCAAATTGATTAAATGATTTTGCTATAATGTGAAGATGATTGTGTAGTCCTGAGATTTCTATAACTAACAATGAGGTAGGTGTCAATTCATTTGTTGGACTTGTTGAGTGAGGCCAGCTTATTTGTTTCTTCTTAAACCGTCCAAAAGCACTGGCCATTCAGATTGGGCAACAAATTTAATTAATGAATGCATCCCTCATCATTTTTAGCTTAAATTAATTGCGGGCCTAGGAGCATGGGGCATGGGGAATTAATTAGTGTTAAGGTAAGTCAAATTCTGCCAAATTTGAGATCAAAACCACGTTGGGGGCACATTGATTTAAGTCCATTTTCAACGGAACCAGCGGTCTTTATGCTTACACGCAAGACATAGTGATCTGTTTTAGATGTTTGTAAATGGATCTCTCGAGCATCTCTTTGGTTGCCATTAAATTGTGATAATTTTGGCTCCTTTTTTAAGGTAAGTAATAGTCTATGTTTAACCACTTATGGGATCAATTGGACAGTGGTGTTATAACTTAATGATACAGAGTTTGAGTTTTAAGTATATAGTTACATATTTAATAGGATTTAGTTACTTATGGTAGTTATACCTAATTTGAGTAAAATTGACTCAAAACATACAAATAGTTACGAAGCAAATTACTCTCAAGCTCAAACAACATGTAGCCGTCACCCCCACACACAAGAAGCATGACCAAGGTCCGTTTGAGCAAGTTATTTAAGAAGTACTTTTAGGAAAGAAAAAAAAATTAAGTTCCTTAGTAAGTCTTGTTGATAAGTTAATTTGTTAAGAGTAAACCTCGTGAAGACAGTGCACAAGACTATGAATGAACCTCATGAACAGAAAAATAAACTCAGCTCAAAAAGTCTTCAGCAGCCAGATCACCAGATTAAACCTAGATAATCTCCATCTGATCATAAGACAAGATGCAACCCCAAATTTAACAGCATTCATATAGTCCAATTTTAAAAAATATTACACGAGTGTTGACCCTCCAAACTAAATTCTTACTCTCATTTTTTTTATTAACCATGTTATTAAAACGAAATATCCACGTATTCACTCAAATTATAGATAATAAATCTTTGTTAAAAAACTTAGCTAATTGTCTTCATTAGAATTTTCCTTTCTAACCACCTTTTTCATCATTTGAAAATGCATTATATTATATAAAATTGTGGACGTAGTTATGAGCAACCTGAAACACTGAACAAACGTTAGTACAATTCTCCTGAGGCGTGCAAACCCCCCAGGATACAATAGAGTCACCCCCCAGGATACAACAGAGTCGTCTCAAGAAATTGAGGAGCAGAACTGACAATTAGAAAATCTGAGAACTCAGAGAGAAGGAAGAGAGAAAGATGTTTTGGGGAGTAAGAAAATAAGTTTTGCGATAAGAAAATAGTGTGCCGGAGGCCTCTATTTATAGAGTCAAAACCTAAAAAATCACGTAATTAATCCGGCAATTAAAGAAAATAAATCTGGTAATTAAAGGAAATTCATTCAATAATTAAAAGAAAATTAATCCAAATTTGTAACGGTAAGATTTTAATTACAGAATTAAACTGTCATTTTCAAATAAGGTTTCCTTAATTAATTAAAATAATTTAATGTAATCAAAATAAAAATATTTCCTGATCTCATTTTCTTTTGGAATATCATATATGTACAACAATCTCTCACATATTTCAAAAGAAAATACTTTATTTTTGATTGCATTAAAAATGAGAGATGAAGAAAAGAAACTGAGTTCTCATATTGGTTGTAATACATTGGACCTGATGTAGCAAGCTATATGAATCAGTCCTAGATTGATAATACTTAACATACAGTGAGATTGGTGTAGCAAGCTATATGAACCAAAACACTTAATGTATATTAACGGTTTTATCAATCATATTACACCCCCACAATTCTCGCCAAGATCTCATGCAAGCGGTCCCACTTGACACTCATATAGGTGATTTCATCAAGTGCATACTGCAAATCATACACCACTCATAAGAGATATGAAAATCATTAAAAGTTTTATAATGTGTTAAGCTTTCTCATCATAAAGCTTAACAATAAAACTTACCCTTTCAATAATGCAGCTCTAGCACTTTCTTCTATTTTAGGAAGGAACAAAGATGTAAGAAATTTAGTGCTAGCAGAACTAACAAGTAACTTGTTTTTTACCCATATGAACCTTATCCATGGGATCTCCAATCACAAAGGTCGGGTTACCATCACTTGTTTGTTTACATGTGCTTAATAAAATCTCATTCCCCTCGATGTTTAATATAACAATATCTTCCTTAGGGATTTAAGTGATAGGATCGGCCGAATCCATTATTAACTTCACATAATCAATAAATTCAATCATTTTATATAAGCAATTGCTTTACCAAATTATTTTCAATGTTATATTCCCAATGGAATATTTACTAGGAGGTTTTTCAACCACTCAGTCTCATAATCAACCATATCAAGAGAAATAAACTCTAACTCAACAATTATTTAATTGGTTGATCTTAAAGTAAGTGCACCACATCCAAGTGTAGTGACATAACCACTCATTTTGATCAAAGATCAAATAATAATCATCATTGTATTTCTAATACAATAGAAAATTCACCATGTTGAATACCATCAATTTATGGTATCTTTCCAACATCTCATAGTATTAAAAATAATATGGATAATTTCACATTTCATTATGCAATTAAAATATTTAATCAATTAATTATATACTAGATCAATACTAGCTATCTTCTAATAACATGAAGTTTCTCTCTCACGTAATGTCATGTAGGTCAAACTCATATATAATCATGTATTACCTCGAAAGCAAATAACAAAAATATACTAGTCATCAAATCAAGTAAATGATCACAAAAATATGAGGGAACTTTAAACCAATATCTCAAAACATATAACAAATATGTTCAACATCACATATATGATTATATTGGTGTTAAGGGGAGTTTCATCTCATTTATATTTATGAAAATTAATAACAATAATAAGGTGTATTAATAATTAAATATTCTCATTATGAAGAGAATCTAAAAATATTAATTGCATACATCATTTCTCATATGATGTCTCGTAATTACTCTTCTCATCCTCTCATCACACCTCATCTTTTCTCTTAAGTGATAGTACTTTTCAAGCTCATACTATACCACTAGTTATATCTAACAAAGCTATATTAATCAACTTCCAATATTATATATATACTTTATTTATTTATTTTATAAAAAAAAATTACCTTTTGACTTTGCAGCTAAGCCAAGGAAACCTCACTTGTCCTGTCACATTCCGTAACAAATTTCATATTGTTTAATGTGGTTGTACTCACCGATCAATATACTCATTAAATCAATAAATTACAAAATCCCAAAGAGATTTTCATGGACAACATAAGTCCTTAAGATTGTTGTATAAAATTGTGGACGCAGCTATGAACAACCTGAAATACCGAAAAAACGTTAGTAAAATTGAGGAGTTGAACTGACAACTAGAAAATCTGAGAACTCAGATAGAAGGAAGAGAGAAAGATGTTTTGGGGGGTAAGAAAATAAGTTTTGGGGTAAAAAAATAGTGTGCCGGAGACCTCTATTTATAGAGTCAAAAAAACCTAAAAAAATCACGTAATTAATCCGACAATTAAAGAAAATAAATATAGTAATTAAAGGAAATTCATTTGGTAATTAAAAGAAAATTAATCCAAATTTGTAATGGTAAGATTTTAATGACAGAATCAAACTGCCATTTTCAAATAAGGTTTCTTTAATTAATTAAAATAATTTAATGTAATCCAAATAAAAATATTTCCGGATCTCATTTTCTTTTGAAATATCGTATATGTCCAATACATTATATCTATGGTTTAGTATAAATATTTTTTAAAAAAAAAATAGTGTATGTTTGGTTGAAATTAATAATTACTTGTTTTTAAAATTTCTGTTAAAATTTTGAAAAGAAAAGGAAGTGATTAGTTTTTAAAATAAATTGAATCAAGTACTATTGAATTTAAGTTTTCATCCTTAAATTTCATGTACTTACACTGTATTTTCTTTCTCGCAAAGCCATGTTATATTCCCTGTATTACATGGTGATTATACATGTTAAGGTAAAAAAAAGTATTAAACGGAAGTCAATCAATATTAACTTCAATTTTAAACAACTAATTAAAATATATTAACTTTTTAATTGAAATACTCAAATTTCTTCAATCGCAATCAATGTTAAAAATAAAAAAACGGATATTTATAAACCATTGTTGAATTAATTTTTTGTATCAATTAGATTAATTTTTTAAACTTAAAATTCAGAATTTCAAAACTTTTTATTTTAATATTTTAAAATTATTTTTTTGGAATTTAAGAAAATAGTCATGCAATGCCGCACTATTTTTTTTAGTTCATTTTTATTTGAATTCTGTTCAGAAATTGGCCTTTAATTTAAAGTTTAAATAATGTAATTAGATTTGGACATTTTTATCTTTTGGGGTATGATAAATGATTTAAGCCAGTCAACTCTAGAAAGTTACTAAGGTTAGGATGTACCTCTAAACTTAAAAATATACTTACTAGTTTTCCATTTAGGAAGTCCTTGCATTGACAATGAATGGGGCTTAAACTTGAATCTTTGAGGAATTTGAATCCAATCCTTAGTTATTGGACTAATATGTGTTTTTATTGTATGTTATTTAGAAATGTAATTCCACTTTATTATTATACTAATAAATCTTGCAACAAAAAATTATACAACTAAAATTTCCGTGAAATTATATGGATATTTTTATAATACTGTGTGTTTTAAGTATTTTTAGTTTAAATATATGATTTTGATGTTGTATTGTCATGAAAGTTGT